TTTGCACCCTCATTTCATGTTTTTGTTGCTGTTGTTGATCCTCACCTGAGGATCTTTTCCACTGATTTTTAGAGAGTGTGGAAGGGAGGGGGAGAGACACAGAGAGAAACATTGATGTGAGAGTGACACATCGATTGTTTGCCTCCCTCCCGAACCCGGCCTAACCAGGTATGCAATCGAGGTATGTGGCCTTGGCCGGAATTGAACCTGGGACCCTTCAGTCCATGGGCTGATGCTCTACCCATTGAGCCAAACTGGCTAGGGCCATTTCATCTTTTTTAAAAAATTATTTTTCAATTACAGTTGACATAAAATACTATATTAATTTCAGGTGTACAACATAGTGAGTAGACATTTCTATACCTTATGGCTCACGTGCTCATCTTGATCCTTCAGGCAGGGGTAGCAGTGGCTCCCGAGGGTGCAAGCTCATTCCCATTGCCGCCTTCTCTGTCCCATCCACTCCTATGTAACTGGTCCCTTTATTAAATTCTCCTCAAATGACACTTGGAGTGTCATTTGTTTTTGCCCTGGACCCCGACCAAACCAAACCAAACAAAAAAACAACAACCCCAAACAATAAAGTGTTCAGGTAACTTAATTATATAAATTGGTCTTTTTCTGTTTCATAACAGAATAAAATATTGAAGAGAGAATATAGGTGAAGAAAACTTATCCAAGTTAAAGGAAACATGCCCCAGAGGGAAAGTAACAGTAAACATTTCATGAGTCCAAACGTAAGGCTGACATTTCTCTCCTGCTCTGTACTCATGCTGTTGCTGGGATTCGGTCGGAGGGCTGAGTGAGGTCTCGCTGATGCAGGTCCTTAGGCAGCACTGTGGACCCTGCTGCAGGGTTTATAGAGCCGCAGAGACCAAAGGGGGGGTGGGGCCTGTCCAGGGTACAGATGAATGGTACGAAGTGCTGCCCGATTTGTAATAAAGCGCTAGATTTATTTTGTGTGGCAATGATTTAAAAACCACCCCTGCACTGCTACTGCTTCAGTGTGCCTATAAACAAGAACATTTTAGTGGCGAAAATAATAGAGCAAATTTCCTCCCTGGCATTTTGGAGCGTGGCTAACAATGGTGATAGGGTCCCTTTCCCTTCACTGAACACTTGCTGTGAGCTTTCCAGGCGCCCACACCCTCAGCTGGGCTCCAGTGGGCAATATTCACTGTGTATGGTAGTGTGTGATAGTCATTAATACAATACTATCATTGTCCAATTTTACTGATGAGGAAGATAAATTAGAGACTTGCCCATCATCAAGTTATTAGGTGATGAGCCGGCATTCAGACCTGAGCAGTTTGACTCTGAATCCCATACTCTTATCCATGACATTGTTCCTTCTTGTTATAATTTCTATGCAGAAATATACTAGTATATGCATATAGAATGCAGAAATATTGCTTGGTGCCTAACAACACACCACATATGTTGTTTCATTTCACTAAATACACCGTGTCATTTTAAATGATGGCATAATATTCAGTTGTATCAGTATGCCAGTTTGCTTAATCAATCTCCTTGTTAGATATTAATTTGCCTTGCTATAATACCCTTAATATTTTTTTCTAATCTTGACTCCTCTCATAGTATAAGGTCTGGCCTAAATATTTCCTTGAACTTCATATCCTGCCCTGTAAAATGATGCTGCTGCTAATAGTAATACTTCCCTTATTGAGTGATTAAATATGTACAATTATGTGGCACTTAATAATGGGGCTATGTTCTGAGAGATACATTTTTAGATTTCATTGTTGTTCAAACGCCATAGAGTGCCACTTATACAAGCCTAGATGGTATAGCCCAATAGACTCTATGGTAGAGCTGTTCTGGAAGTACACGCCTGTACAGCATGTTACTGTGCAAAGCACCATGGGATTAAATCAAGCACAAGAGAAAATGATGTAATCAACAGACATGGTATACACAAGATTATGAGGCTGCTGCTGGTGTAACACAGCATATGGTTTTACAGCAAACATTTTTATAAGTAGAAAGAGTACACTCTAAAGCAGTGGTTCTCAACCTTCCTAATGCCGCGACCCTTTAATACAGTTCCTCATGCTGTGGTGACCCCCAATTTCATTGTTACAAATTGAACATAATTAAAGTATAGTGATTAATCACAAAACAATATGTAATTATATATGTGTTTCCCGATGGTCTTAGGCGACCCCTGTGAAAGGGTCGTTCAACCCCCAAAGGGGTCGCGACTCATAGGTTGAGAACCACTGCTCTAAAGTAAGGATAAAAGGCATAGTATAGTAAGTACATAAACCAGTAGCATAGTTGTTTCTAATCATTACCAAGATCATGTACTGTATATAATTGTATGTGCTATACTTTTATACTACTGGCAGCGCAGGCTTGTTTACACCAGAATCACCTGAGCAGGTGAGTAAGGCAATGCAGTATGTTATGACAGCTATGACGTCACTAGGTGATAGGAACATTTTAGCTCCATCATGATTTTATGGGACCACCATGGTTTATGCAGTCCACTGTTGACCAACACATCATTATATGCATAATGAAAGCTATTATGATGATGATGATGATTATATCTTATAATTATTGTTATTGTTAAATAGAACATTTAACAATACTGTTGGGGAATGGGGCTCTAGATGACTTACTTTCTCCATTTTTCTTATACTGTACTTTGTAATATTTAAATATACCCTATATACTAAAAGCCTAATATGCTAAGTGCCTGGTCGACCAGTTGGCTGTTCAAACAATCAAATTGTAATATGCTAATGATATGCTAAGGCCACTCACTATGATGTGCACTGACCAGGAGGCAGATGCTTCGACCAGTAGGTTAGCTTGCTGCTGGGGTCTGGCCGATCAGGACTGAATGAGATGGGATGGACATGCCCTGGAGCCTCCTGCAGTCCCTCCCCAGCTGGCCAACCTCCCGCGTCCCTCCCCGGCCCCAATCATGCACCGGTGGGGTCCCTCGGCCTGGCCTGCACCCTCTCACAATCTGAGACCCCTTGGGGGATGTCAGAGAACCGGTTTCAGCCTGATCCCGCAGGCCAGGCCGAGGGGCCCCACTGGTGCACAAATTCGTGCACCAGGCCTCTAGTTGTGTAATAAGGACAATGAACTTGTTGGAGTTTTTTAAATTTAAAACAAGTTATTCATTTAAGGACAGAAAGGTTAAAATATGTTTTAGCTTCCCAGTCCCACAGGTGGTTTTAACATTGATCCAGGCTAACCTCTTGGAGTTTGTTTTTACGGAACCATGCTTGTACTGAGCTATTTTTACCACATGTCAATATTTTACATTCTCTGTGCAATTAGAAAATAGTTCCAAAGACACTTATCAATACTTCTCCTTAAATAAATACATGAGAGCTCCCCCTCTGTATATATTCCCAATGCCTGTGTTTTTGCTGGAGAGTGCTGTGGGTGTTAGCAATTCCCAGGCTCTCCTTAGACATGCTGGGAAGGGGCTTTTGCCTTTGTTATGCAGTGATATCATGTTATCAGCCCCTCCCCCCATCGTTCTATCATCTTCTGATGACCTTTGTGAGAGTTTCATTGGATGTTTTCATTCTAGTGAGATTCACACACTGGGGAACTCATACCTGGGGCCCAAGCAGGGCTGTAATGGTAGTGTGCACTGCTGTGTCACCCAACAAGGAAATAACCAGGGAAATGCATCTTCTAAGTAGATCAGAAGCCTCTTTGTAAAAGGGAATCATAGGCATGTATAAACAGAACTTAGCCTTTACTCTTTGGATTCCAAAATGGAATTGTTTTCTCTATGAATGATAGGCCAAATGACTGAGCCATAAAGAAACACACACAGCCCTAACCCGTTTGGCTCAGTGGATAGAGCGTTGGCCTGTGGTTGCAAGGGTACCAGGTTTGATTCTGGTCAGGGGCATGTACCTTGGTTGCGGGCACATACCCAGTGGGGTGTGTACAGGAGGCAGCTGATCGATGTTTCTCTCTCATTGATGTTTCTAACTCTCTATCCCTCTCCCTTCCTCTCTGTAAAAAAATCAATAAAATATATTTTTTAAAAAAAGAAAAGAAACATCTCACGTGTGTGTGTGTGTGTGAGAGAGAGAGAGAGAGAGAGAGAGAGAGAGAGAGAGAGAGAGAGAGAGAGAGATTACATTTTAGTAATTTTCTTTAAGAAAAAATTTTTAGCTCTAGCTGGTTTGGCTCAGTGAATAGAGTGTAGGCCTTTGAACTGAATGGTCATGGGTCCGCCCTCCAGCCCTAGTCAGGGCATATGCTGGAGGCAACCAGTCGATGTGTCTCTCTCACATCAATGTTTCTCTCTTTCTGTCTCTCCCTCTCCCTTTCTCTCTCTCTATAAATCAATGGAAAAATATTCTCTGGTTAACCAAAAAAATAATTTTTTAGTAACCTGATGTTTCATTATTTGTCAGCCAGGAAGCTTTGCACATATTTCATCTACTAAAAGAATGGTTATTTGATTTGACCTAAATGTTAATGAAAGAATAGCCAATTCTCAAGATATTTTTTTTATTTAAAATGTCAACTATCACAACACATTACACAATGAAATGATGACCTTAGAATCACATTAAAATGTTTTAAAACATTTCTATATAGTCACAAAGCATAAAACATGCTTCAGGAATACAAATATAATTTTTACATTTTCACCATAAAAACAACAGAGAAGCACAGGCCTATCTGTGAACGTCCTTTCTTTCAGCAGGAGCTTATGTGATTACTTCCAAGAAACAAAAATGATTTCTTTCTTCAGAGACTATATTGTTGACAGGTCTTTACAATTTCATTGAACACTGTGCTTTGTTGAGAAAGTACTACTGTTTCTATTTCTGAGGGAATCATCATATTAGAATTATAACACACTTTTACAACACATTTTGGCACAATATGAAAAATAAACACTTTGTTGAGTTTTTAACTCAAAACAATTATTATTATTATTATTAAATAAATAATTATTCCGCATAGTGCATTTCTCATTTTTTTTAACCTTTTATTGACTATTGACACAAATGAAGCTCAGTAAACACATTAGGTAGTTTATTTACGTCTTCTTTCATAATTCTGCATCGCATCCCTTTCATAAGCCACTGAGAACAAAGAGAAGAGAAAGGGTTAAGAGGATTCACTGAGGGAATTAAAGTTCAAGGCACACATAATGACTTTTTCAAAACTCATAATGACTACTTCCCTCCATTGAAATATTTCCAAGAGGTTTATTTGCACATCTGCCAATGTTGCCTCAGTTTCTATCCTGACTGGAAGTGACCTAACCACAGAATTAATGGTAACTTTGGTGGTCTGTCAAATACTTGGTTCCCCAAAAGCATACTTCCACAATACATTGCAGTGTTGATTCTCAGCAGCGTCCTCAAACAGTGGCAGACACCCTGGGTGATTTATAGAAAGGACAGTGCCTAAATTAACCAGGAATAGTCATAGGATGAAAGCAAAATGTGAAACTTATTCTAGGACAGAATCAACAAACTATAAGCCCTGGGCCAAATCCAGCCCACCACCTTTTCTTGTAAATAACACCTTACTAGAACATGGCGCCAGCCATTCATTTATATATTATCTATGGCCACTTTAGCATCACAATGGCAGATTTGAGTAGTTGTTACAGAGACTGCATGGCTCACGAAGTCTAAAATATTTACTGTGTATCTCTTCAAAAAAAATTTGCTGATTCTCGATACAGGGATAACTTAGGTTGTGAGGGTCTCTTCCTGTCTTGTGGGTGCCTCCCAATGTCCTTGAGACTAAAAACAGCCTCATAGTCTATAGGTAGGGCTTATGTGCCATCTAAATACAACACAGTTTAACTTACCTCCTAGCACCCTAATGTCCTGTGAAAGGTTAATCACTGCTTCTAAAAGGATTTACCCTATACCTAACAAGTAATTTAAGTACACTGACTATCTGGACTTAAAAAGGCCAAAATTAAATATAACACATCATAACATAACATATAAATGATGTAATATGATATATTGTATACTAGTACAATTTCAAAGGGGTCTGTAACCTCAAAAGGGTAAAGATCAGACTGATATGATCAAAACACTTAAGTATACTTTTCATCATTTTAACTAACACTCTATACCCTTAGATTTACATCATAGAGAACTACTATGCTTTTAAAAATTCAGTATGCCCTGTTTCAAATATTACATTTAAATAGAAATAGCAGAAATCACTGGGAAAGATATGTAGAAGCCCTGGGTGTTACTGCAAACACTTTTCCCAGTGAGAAGGATCTGTGGAGAGAGAAGGGAAGTCCAGTTTCTAGTCATCACTTCCCCTTCAACACGGGGCAAAAGAGCTTTCGCAGCCCACTGTCCTGTAAGTGAGGTTAACAACACACGGATGGTTTTATGTCAGTCATGTATGCATTTCTGGGGTAGAATAGGCTGAGCCCCAAACTGGGCAGTTCTGCAGGAAGGAAACAGTTCATGTCTCACCCTGGCCTGCTCATATGAGGAGGCGGATAACTGACACAGGCTCACTTCCTGGCCAGCTTCAGGTGACATGACTCTGTTCCTCAGAGAAGTGAGGTGAATGCTCACATGAACTAACCAAAGACAGGTCAGTGGGTTAGCTGGAACGTAACAATCTCCTAACTTCAGGCAGAGTTTCTTACCAGGTCCTTGTACCCTCTGAAGCCCTGGGCAAACGTTTGTGTATCTGAGATGAGGAGGGTTTCTCTGGGAAGGGGGTTTCTAGATTTTTCTAGCTTGTCAAAGGGGTTTGTGACCATAAAAGGCTGTAGAAGCCTATAATAACTTTACTTCAACTGAGTATATGAAAAGATCTCTGATTGAGTGTGGATGACTTTTTTGCCCATTTTTTTCCTTTTATGTTTCTTAACTAAAGTGGAAGAACAAAGATTTATTCATAAATTAATTCTGATTCATTACAGTGATTCTATTTATTATTTATAGTACATTATTACTTTTTGTGCATTTAATCTGTTCTAAATTGTATAGTACCTATATTATTTGTGCAGTTAAGCATGTTGTAAAACTTGTATCAATTCTGGAAATGGAGAGCTGAAGTCTAATATGATTATCACGAAAACCACAGCTATATAAGGACTATTGATACACATTCTAGTGGCTTAAATTTACATTCCATTTCTAAAGGCAGGAGATAGTGTATATTAATAAAACAGTTTTAACCTTTTTTTATTAGGCGGATTGGTAGTATCTTTAAAATTTAACCTTGGCCAACCCCACATTACTGATGAAGAAATACAAACATAGTTGTCTAAATTTGGAAGGTAGAGAACCAATATAAATACTAGCAGACACCATTTTTGCATGACTCTCCAGAAAAATAAGAATTAAACCAGCACTCCTTAGTTACAGATTTTCTAGAAATTTGAAATATTCTAGATGGATAAGACAGCTGCTGATTACTTTCTAATTCATTATATGTTAGTATTTTAATTCCACTTTTATTCTATGTACAATGAAGAGAATTTGAATAGTTTTCCCAAGGAACCTAAACTAGGGATTGTAAGGCCTGCATGTGCCTAACAACAAATCAGTGTTATGAAAATGCCATAGGGGTTATTTGACCTTGGAAATACGGTGATGAGTGAGTTTTCAGATATAAGCATGTGGCATTTATATAGAAAATAAAAACAAAAGAGAAGAAAGGAAGCATACACTCTTTACAGCAAGTGAAAGAGTTGTCCAGAATTAAAATGGGTTTTGAGGAGAATTGTGGCATTCCTTCTTTCTGAGGGCTTTGTAGGCAGGACTGATCGTGTGTATCTCTAGGATGATTTGTTTATGTTCCTTTGTGAAGGCACAGGAATGGACTATAAAACTCAAACATCCATTGGGATGTTTTAGAGTTTGAGTTTCTATAACTTCATGAAGAGCAAGTAATTTGTATAAATAAATTTATTTTGTTTCTTTGTTGTTGTGATGTCTTGTAAGACTTGTAAATTACCTTGGTAACAAGTGAAAATTGGTCTTAATTCCTGCATTTCCCACACCCTTAGTTCAGTAAAATTAAATGTGGTTTATATGACAGATATAAGGGAAAGAGTATTAGACTAGCCCAAAGATTCAGGTTAGGTAATAATTAAATGGGGCAGACACTGGTAAGGCTGGTGGTTTGAGAGAGATTGATATTGTGGTGATATTAGCTTAGTCAGCTATAAATCCATTCTCAGACTTATTTATGAAAATTAGAATTTTTTCACCATAAATACTTATTTTAAGTTCATTATTCCCTTTTAATAATTTAAAAACTATGCCTTAGAAAGAAAATAATATAAGTAGGTTTAAAATACTGTCTATTTTCAGTCATGATTTTATACATACCAGAATTTAAAGCTCTTTTGCCCATTAGTCCAATAAAGGCATCTGTTCTATGTCCTGGAAAAATACATTTAGGGGTATTTTAACATGTATATCTTTGAGAAAATAAACTATTATAACTAGTATCAGAAAAGGCAAGCTTCTAAATATATTCTCATATAATAAATATGTGTCTATTTCAAGTTTTAGTGAGTCAGAAAAAAATAGGATCCTTAGTAAGTCTTATAAATGACACTAAAACACTAAATGAAAGCACTTTTCTCAATTCTATATCTAAATATTAGCAAGTACCCTTTATTCATATTATATTTTATCTGTTTACTTATACAAACTTTTAAATACTGTTGCTATTGAAGCTAGCTTGATTTTTAGGAAGTTGATTTCACATTTGTGTGACAAGAAATATCCAAGCCTATTTCCTCTTGTTACTGAATATGTTGTATTTCTCAGGAACTGAACCTTAGTTAAGCCAGATCCCTACACCTGATAATTACAAACTTCTCAAAGGTTACTCTTTCTATTTTATTAGATTTTAAATAATACTCCTTTGGAAAAGTATGTCAGTTTTGACATTAATAGAGTACATTTATTTTCATTACACAGAATTCTGCTGTATATAATTCCCTTGAAAGTCAACTCCTTAGAAAGTAAATATGAATGATTTATTTAGTGTCAAGATGGAGCCTCTGGAAAAGATGACGTTCACTAGAGTGAGAGAATGTCCCTTGGTTTGCTAGTTGAGAATAGGGCTGCTCTCTTAATGTGGCCTACTCTGCCACCCAGGGAACCGAAATCCAAGCTAGCAACTAAGTGCACAGTACAATTAAGATGGACCCCTGGGACTGCCTGTCAACTCTCGTTCCATTAACTGGGAAACTGGGACCTAATGGCCATCGAGTGTCACCATTTTTACCATCGTCACTGCCCTAAGAAATGTCCACTGCACTTTAATAGACTGAAGTTTCCCAACCAGTTATGGAATAAAAAACCGGCATTTCTATCTTTACCTTTAGTAAGGATTATCTACTCAGACATTCACTGGAGCCCCTTGGCTGCTGAATTACCATTATCAGGGACATCATTATGGCATCCAGCATACTCAACTGAGTTAGAAGATATCTATAAATATTTGGTTTTGGTTTTGTTTTGCAGTGGAAGTGGTGCTTGTGGGGTGTCGAGGGATAATGTGTGGTGGATTTTTACCCAAGGATTGAAATTCTTAGCTAAACTAACAATTTGTAGGAGTTAAAGGGGTTTTGGGGGGGGCAGCTTAAAACAACAACAAATATTTATTATCTCACACTGTCTATGGGTCAGAAATTCAGCAGTTTAGCTGGGAGTTAAAGGATTTGTAACTTAATGTATCATTTTGGAAAGTATGATATGTCTAAATCATAGAGCTTTAAACAGTCATGTTCTGGATGAAATATAATGCATCTCTTCCATTCGTATATTGTCTTAATTAAACACATTAATCCCAAACTTACAACAGGAAAAATGATAAGGTATTATATAAAGTGGAATTCAATCAACATTTGTATTTGATAAATATCAAAATAATTTTGAACTTACTTTTTTTATTAGAGAAATGGGCATGTCCTGTAAGAAAGACAACAATAGGAATTGCCTTACCTTATAAGGAAAAATATAAATTGACGTTTAAAATATGTAACATTTCCTATTCATATACTACCTGAGGAATATAGCAGAAGCACAAATTATTGATAATATAAACAAAATGTTAATAAATAAAAAACAATTTTTAAGTGCCTTTTATGGGTCACAGATTCCAAATCCAGGACTGAGACTCCCGAGGCCTGGTAGTAACTGTTAGGCAATGCCACATCTGTTTCCCTATAAGAAGCACATATTCAACAACATAAACTGATGAAGAAAAATAGATCCAGAGACACAGAAGCATCAAACATACCTTCACACCTCAGAGGGAAGGCAGGGGAGGGAGGGTTGGGGGGTAAGAGATCAACCAAAGGACTTGTATGCATGCATATAAGCATAACCAATAGACACAGAACAGTAGGGGGGTGAGGGCATGTGCTGGGGAGGTGGGAATGGCGGGGGAGAGGTCAATGGGAGAAAAAAGGAGACATGTGTAATACTTTCAACAATAAAGAATCTTTTTTTAAAAAGCACATATTCAAGGAGGGCCACCCATTGATGCTCAGAAGAGGAAGAGAGATGCAAATACATCTCTTCATTAAACAGGCATAATCAAGAATCTGTGTTTCAGCCCATAAAAGACTTTTTTCACTTTCCTAAATGTGCATTCACAATAGTAAAATAAAGATGTCTAGAAACGTTTACCATAAAGAGCCTTTAACAGGGCCACTTGCTTTACAATTGAGGAATCTAATTAGAAACAACTAACTTTTTACAGGGTCCACTGATGATACGATGAATTCAAGGAAACTGAATATTTCTATCAGGAGATAAGGAGCAGTTTATACTCAGCTTCCATATGCACTAGAGCATTCCCAGTACTACCCCTTGGAGGCCCCGTGCCCACTCCTTCTTTGCCAGTTCGGATCTTTAGTCCAGGGAGCTAAGGTTGGGTCCTGTCCTTGGTGGTTTGGGTCTAACCCTGAGGCGTGCCAGACCTGGATGCCTCCCTCCCTCTGCGGGCACGTGCCTTGCGTGTGTGAGTGGGTGAGGGAGATTTACCCCTCTTTCTAGGCTGGAAATCTCTCCTTAAAGAGCAAAAGAAACTCTGAGAATGAGTGAGCAGACCAGGTGGGGGGCCCGCAGAGACAGAGAGAGGGTGGCTGCCCATCTCACCAGCATCCCGTTTGCCCATCAAGCCGAAGAACTGCTGAGGCTTGGGTCTCCGGGCGATTCTTTGTAGAAGATGCTCAAAGGGCTCAGGCAGCTCCTCCTGGGGGACAGACATACGGACAAACCCGGGTGTAGCAGTCAGTGCGAGGCTCCCCAAAACCCGAGTCATTCCCGGGGCGCGCTCCAGCCTTGGGCGAACCTCAGCGGCAGGACCCCGCCGGCCAGGGCTGGGAAGCCAGCTCCGCAGGGAGAGGAGAGCAGGCCGGGCTTCCCCGGCGCCAGGGCTGTGGGGTCCGGGGCAGGTCGCTCCCTACCTCCACCCCACCCCGCGGCGCTCGTGTCCAGCGCCGCCGCCTCCCCGAGTCCCTGCGCGTTACCAGGAGGTGAAGTCTCCTAGCCCCGCGCGCTTTCCGCTCTTTGCTCGCAGCCTGGGGACCCTCACTCATCTGCCTCTTAGCCACCTGACTCAGTCTCCTCTCCAGCGGATTAGGAGACTCCTCATCACCCGAAAGACACACAGGTGTTGCCGGGGCGGGGCAGGCTGACCGCGCTTTGCGAGCCACCTGCCTGGCGCGACTTCCACTGTTCCCGGGAGGCGCGCTCCCTTGCGCCAACATCCTGCGAGCCAGGGACGGGCAAACCTGTGGCTACCTTCTCAGGTCCACAAAGTACATGTCACGGCAGGAAGTTAGCTTTCCATCCACCTCTGTCCCCAGCAGCTCGCCCCTTGCCGCGGCTTCTGCCAGGGTCCGGCGTGCCCTCCTCTGCCCCTGCCCAGTGTTTCCAAACACCAGGTCCTCTCGGCTGGACGAGAGTCCCCGAAATCCCCATTACCCGGGGGTGAAACCTTGTGGGGTGCCCAGCCTGGTGAGGACCCCGGGCTCATCACCGAGGGCATTATTGCTCCAGCGAGTTCCTGAGACCGGCGTGCTGCCCTCGGGAGGAAAGTTGGCCGTGGGCACACCTCGCCCGGGACCTAAGGGTGGCGTCCTATGCATCCTCGCGCAGCCACTGGTCTCACTGATCGTGGTCGCCGCGCCCGCCAGGCCAACTGGGCGCTCTCTCGAGAGGCAGTGACAGCTCACAGCTCCCGAGCTTGGGAGGAGCCACGAGGACCAGCTGGGGTCCGGGCCTCACCTTGAAGTGGTCGCTGTCGGACCAGTCGGACCAATAATTCAGACCATCGTCGGCTCCGATTTCTTCTGCCAACAGTTGCGTGGAGACGAGAAATAAGACGGCCAAGGCCAGGAGGATTTTCATGCTGGATTTCTGGGAAGGGCAGGGAGAAGAGATCGTGGAGGGGAAAATGACAGACATTGGGGGCGGCTACCTAAGAAGGGGCAGCAACACTGTCTGCCCCACAACGGAACCAAGATAAAAAGCCTGTACCATTTAGGAAAAAGAATCAGCCCCAAGCTTCTCAAGTCTCCTTCTCCCCGGACCCCAACCCCACCAGCCCCCAATCCACACTTCCAAGCCAGGAGGCTCCGCAGGTGGGAGACATGAAGGACATTGGCAATCGGGCTACACGTCTCCCCGCCGTCCTCCGCTGTCCCCCCACTGCCCCTCGCCCCAGCCGACCCACTTCGGCGCTTTGCGCGGCGCGGCGAGCCCCCTGGCGGGGCGCAGGCACTTACCGCGGCGGGCAGACCCGCAGACCCGCAGGGACGCTCTGGCCGGTCTGAGCGCACGCCCGGCGCTCCGCACTCTCGGTGCCGCGACGGTGGAGGAGGAGGAGGTCGGATGCGCTTTCCGCCCGCCTGGAGCCTCGCAGTATTTATCCGCGGCTTGACGCGCCTCGAGACCCACGTGACACGCTCCCCACGCGACTTTCTGCTCAATATTTAATTAGCCGCCTCCTCTCCTTGCGCTTGCGTCTGATGGAGAGTTTCCGAGACGGTAACCCGTCGGTGCCCATAATATCTGGACCCAATTGGGTTCGAAATGACGCAATTTTAGGAAAATCAAGATCTCGCCATCCAATCCCCAGCTGCCAGTCTTCTTCCCTCTGCAGATCTGACGCCCCCTCCTCTCCCCTTCTTCCGCACAAGGTTTCATGACACCTGAAATTACTCATCAAAATTGAGCACCGTGACTCATTTCTCGGACTTCCGCGGCAACTTTTCCGTCTCTTGAGATGTCAGGATAAGGTGTACTTTTAAGGATGGCCAAGTAACTTCCGGCACTAAGATATTGTCGTTGGAAATCGTGCTAAGAAAGGAGCACTTCAGATTGGGAGGGGGAGGTCCTTGTTTTCTATTTCCACCTGCATGCAGAGTGTCTTAAGTGTTTCTCAGCTGCATCTCTCTCCCTACTCCCACTTCAGCTAGCATACCTGCAGTTCTTCAGCATCACAAAAGGATTTCTAGTGCCATAGTATTCAGACGGTGGAAGCAGATTTATTTTCCATTTTGGAGAATGTAGAATGTAAGCGTGCCATTGCACGTAGAACTTTTATGTTGGTGCCATTTTAGGATCTCTTTTGTTCCAAGGTAGCCAAGACCTCTTTCTTGACACATCCAGGAGCAGCGGCTGGAAGAGGATATGTTTGCGCTTCTCTCCTACCCTTTCTTGCTAAGACTAAGAAACCAGCAAGATGGTACAAGGTTTTTACTGGGTACCACTAAAGGGCTCTAGAGATCACTCACTTAAGGACTCCATAGATCATTCATAGACTTCTTTGTCTATGAAAACACAGGACATGAAGATGCTAATCAGGTGGTCATTAACAACATGAGACTATTAGCCTAATAACTTCTATACAGAAATCACAGCTTTCCTTGCAGACACATGTCTTTCATCTCTAAATGAATTAAGTGACGTTTGTTTCTTGGGTGGAGTTCTTTGCTCCTCTTTACTTAGTATTATATTTTTCAATTAATTCTGATGTTTTTAGTATAATGCATGAAAGAAAATAATTTCGCAACTTATATAAACCAGTAGTTTTTCCCCTCTAATACTGTTGTTCTTTTTTAAATAACCCTGCATTTGGAAATTCCCATGTATCTATTTCTTTTTTGAGGCCTAGCTTCACAACCAGAGGCATTCTAATTTTTGTTTTTGTAACTTTTTATATGGAAAACTAGTGCCCCGGTGCATGGATTCATGCACATTGAAAGGAAATTTATTAGAAGAAATATTGTAATATTGCTACTCGCCCTTTCTCTATAATAGAAGTGCCAACCAAATTCACGATCAACAATGACAGATCGAAACACACGCAAGTCATTGGTGCCCAGCTAGAGCTTTATATGTATCTCACATGCGCAAGTCAACATTTATTTTTAAATCGCCAGTGTGTGTGATATGTTCCAGCCAGTTGGTTGGTTGGACAGTCGGATGGACGTTCGGTCGGTCACTTAGCTTTTTATATATATAGATTATAAACATACAAAAGTAGAGAGAATCATTCACTTGAAACAGTTTGTGAATTTCACTTGCAAACGCTTCATATTTCCCCTCCACTCAGGTTATTTTGAAGAAAATCCCACACATCATTTCATGCTATAAATATTTCAGCATGTCTATATAAATGATAAGGATTTCTCTAAACACACACACTCAGAACCATGTCATTATTCCACCTAAAGCAACATAAAATAATTTCTTACATTAAATATCCAATGTTCAAATATTCCTTGTTTCATAAACCCCTACCCCACACAGTTTACTAGAAGAAATCTGAATTGTAATGCAGTCCATACCCTGCACTTGGCTCATATATCTCTAAAATCTCCCCTAATCTATATTTTTTCTCTGTCCCACCCTCCCTCCCTGCTGCCCCTTGCAGTTTATGGCTAAAACTACTCAGTAAAATGTACTACATTCTGGAGTTTGCTGATTGCCTCCTACTGGTTTCTTTTAACTTGTTCCTCTGTCCTATTTCCTGGTAATTGGTATATGGAACATGGAAAGCTTCACCCCATGTGAGTTCAACTTTGCTGACAAGGCTAGTTTACATGTGTCATTAGCAAGCACATGATACCTGGTTGTTTCTCCCTTTGAGATATTAGCAGCCATTGATGATCATTTTCTAGATCCATTAATTAATTCATTAGTGCTTTCAAAATAATGTTATTCTGATTTTATTTGTTAGGTGGACTATTTCTTGCATATAAAGAGAAACGTTTTTTTCCCAACAACTATTTAATTATTTCAAGACATGACACATATAAGAAAGATGGAATATATGCTTGATTACTTCCCTTTACCGATTTTAAAAAAATAGGTTGGTAAATTAACGCATTCAAATATGGTCCTTCCTTCTTCTCCTCCCCAACTCCCCAATTTTAGGATTATTATGACCTCATGGATTTAAACATATTTGAAGTATTTCAATACTTCAAAGGAAGATAGAAGCAGGTCTTCTGACCGATGCTCCAATTACCCCATTTCTTGGCCAATGGGTAGCATTTCAATTGGCTCCTGAGACTTTGATATGCTTTAGATGAGCTTTACTGGCTTTCTTGTTTTTTGGTAGGACAGGACAAGATATTCCAGGTTTAAGCTGTGTACTTTCCGTCTCAAACCTGCAGTTTATACTTAAGGAGCTCTCATTCCCTTTGCATTAGAAATGATAATTATAGATTATAATCTGGGCCTTGTGGGTGCACATTGCTACTGAGTTCTTTATGTTTCAAGACCAATGAATAGAGCTGAAAATGTGTGTGTGTGTGTAAAATGATGAATGTATACTGACCGTTTCTACTCAAATCTGGACACTATAGGGGCTTTCCTTGACCTCTTCTGTTTTGCATCTTTTTCTAACGTGCCAAAAAATTCTGGTTCCCAGTGACATTACCATGATTATTTACTTGTTTTATCACAATGCCAATTTGACCAACAATATTATTATTAGAAACAGAATTATTATTATTATTATTATTATTATTTTGTTTGCAAGCTTTTTGTTTTTAAGATACATCACACTTGGTATGTTTAGTCAATTTACTATGTTTTAAAGTCTCTTTAAAAGTTCTTCTTTGCATGGTTATGCTTCCAAGTCTTAGATGCACAGGTTTATTTGCTTATTTTGCTCTCAAATTTTAGGGGTTGCTTTTTAATATTAATTTAAATTTATAATTATGTCAAGTACATGGTTCCAAGCTCAAATATTCAAAACATAATGCATTCAAAGTTTAGGAAAATGAGCACTCAAACTTTCTTCCAGCTATCCTTCCCCCACTACCTCTTTGTAGTTATGTGATAGTTTTAACATTATGGGGGTTATAATACTCATGTTTAGTTTTTAAAAATATATATATATTTTTATTGATTTCAGAGAGGAAGGAAGAGGGAGAGATAGAAACATCAATGATGAGAGAGAATCATTGATCAGCTGCCTCCTGCATGCCCTCCACTGGGGATCAAGCCGAGCATATATGCCCTTTATCAGAATTGAACCCAGGACCCTTCAGTCCACAGGCTGACGCTCTATCCACTGAGTCATATCGGCTAGGGCTGACATTTAGTTTTGCTGCCATGCTTTCATTAGTTGTTTACTATTTAAACACATGTATTGCTCACTACAAGTTCCTTAACTTAGCTTTTCCATTCTTGAGTTTATTTTTAGTTATCTTTTATTTGTCTAGATGGCATTGTAAGCACATTTTTTTCCCTTTGGAGGAAATTATATTGTGTTCTCTGAGTTCTTTCATGCTTGTGAACATCTGTCAATGACTTCTAAGCTCAAGAGACGTCTAGGTTAGTTATATTTTAAAATTAAATTTCATTTTTCTCAGGGCATTATGGACATTGCTCCATTGTCTGTGGAATTGAGTGTTATGGAGAATTCTGAGGTGGGACAATTTTTCCCTGTACTTGTATATCTGAGGAATTCTTTCTTTATTCTTGACATTCAGTAGTTTAATTAGGATATGTCTTGCTGATCATTCTTTATCTAATTTTCTTGGAGTGTCATGAACTGTTTTTGTTTTGTTTCTTCATTTTAGGGAAGTTTTATTGTATTATGTCCTTTTTTTTTTTGCTTTTTTTTAAATTAAATCTTTATTGTTCAGATTATTACATTTGTTCCTCTTTTTTCCACCCATAACTCCCCTCCACCCAGTTCCCACCCCACGCTCCTCCCTCACTCCCCACCCACTGTCCTCATCCATAGGTGCACGATTTTTGTCCAGTCTCTTCCCGCATCTCCCACACCTCTTTCCCCCCCAAGAATAGTCAGTCCACTCCCTTTCTAAGCCCCTCATTCTATTATATTCACCAGTTCATTCTGTTCATCAGATTATTCACTTGATTTTCAGATTCGCTTGTTGATAGATGTGTATTTGTTGTTCATAATTTGTATCTTTACCTTTTTCTTCCTCTTCCTCTTCTTAAAGTATACCTTTCAGCATTTCATATAATACTGGTTTGGTGGTGATGAACTCCTTTAGCTTTTTCTTATCTGTGAAGCTCTTTATCTGGCCTTCAATTCTGAATGATAGCTTTGCTGGATAAAGTAATCTTGGTTGTAGGTTCTTGGCATTCATCACTTTGAATATTTCTTGCCACTCCCTCCTGGCCTGCAAAGTTTCTGTTGAGAAATCAGCTGACAGTCGTATGGGTACTCCCTTGTAGGTAACTGACTTTCTTTATCTTGCTGCTTTTAAGATTCTCTCTTTGTCTTTTGCTCTTGGCATTTTAATTATGATGTGTCTTGGTGTGGTCCTCTTTGGATTCCTTTTGTTTGGGGTTCTCTGCGCTTCCTGGACTTGTAAGTCTATTTCTTTCACCAGGTAGGGGAAGTTTTCTGTGATTATTTCTTCAAAGAGGTTTTCAATATCTTGCTCTCTCTCATCTTCTGGCACCCCTATAATTCTGATGTTGGTACGCTTGAAGCTGTCCCAGAGGCTCCTTACACTATCTTCGTATTTTTGGATTCTCTTTTCATTTTGCTTTTTTGGTTGGGTGTTTTTTGCTTCTTCGTATTTCAAATCGTTGACTTG